CAGAGAAAAGGGAGAGGGGAGAGTGTTGAGAGCTTTGTTGGGGGTTACAAATGGGTAAGGGAAAATGAAGGGGAGAGTGGAGTTTTAAATTAAGAAATGAATGGGGGAGTTATGAAGAATTAAGAGGATTAAATAAGAATGATGGTGATGAGTTGTGGCGTGTGAGTTGGTGCTGGGAGTTACATCTCCTAATTTGTTCCGTTGTGTAAAATCTTACCTGATCGGTACGCGGTACTTTCCCCGAACGGGTCCGAATTGAGATCCGTTTACGTTTCTGGAATCAGACAGACAAAACGAATATTATGACATAATCAAATAATTTTTCTAAGGATTTTATTTTCCAAACCCCGGTCCGAGTTAGTAATTAATTAATTAGATTAATCAATTCTAATAGACCGGGTCGCAGGGCGTTACAGTTATCCACCCCATAAGAAAATTTCGTCCTCGAAATTTACCTGATCACTGGTCACTGAAAAGATGGGGATAACGGGTGCGCATGGATTCCTCTGTTTCCCAGGTCGCCTCCTCAACGGTGTGACTTCTCCACAGAACCTTGACCAACGGAATGGTTTTGTTCCTCAACTGACGGATCTCCCGAGCCAAAATCTCAATCGGCTCCTCCTCATATGTAAGGTTCTCGTCGAGAGTGACCGTATCCGCTGGGATCACGTGTGAAGGGTCTGATCGGTACCTTCGGAGCATAGACACGTGGAATACATTATGAATCCTGCTTAACTCAGATGGTAAATCGATCCTGTAGGCTACAGGTCCCAAACGTTCAGTGATTGGGTATGGGCCTATAAACCTCGGACTAAGTTTTCCCTTTTTTCCGAAACGCAAAACATTCTTCCAAGGAGATACCTTCAAGAAAACCTTATCTCCCACTGCATACTCGATATCGCGTCTCTTAAGGCCGGCGTAGGACTTTTGTCGGTCCGATGCCACCCTAAGCCGGTCCTTAATTACCTGGACCTTCTCCTCGGTTTCATGAACTAGATCTGGCCCTTCCAACTTCCTCTCGCTGAGCTCCGTCCAGCAAGTAGGAGTCCGGCACGGCCTACCGTACAAAGCCTTGTACGATGCCATACCGATGCTAGCCTGGTAGCTGTTGTTGTATGCGAACTCCATCAACGGTAGATATCGCTCCCAACCATCCCCGAAGTCGATCGCACAGGCGCGCATCATATCCTCGAGGATCTGGATAACCCTCTCGGACTGACCGTCCATCTGTGGGTGGAAGGCCGTACTGAAATGAAGATCGGAGCCCAAGGCTTTCTGTAGGCTCTTCCAGAACTGTGACGTGAAACGCGGGTCATGGTCCGAAATGATAGATGAGGGAACTCCATGTAACCGGATGACCTCGCGGATGTATAGTTCCGCCAGACGCTGTAAAGGGAAATCTCGTCGTATCGGAAGAAAATCAAGAGGAAGAAGAAGAACAAGATGAACACGAAGAAGAAGCAACCGAGCTTCCCATTGCATGGAGAACGAACAAGAACCATCCACTTGACCAGGTAATCGGTAGCAACAACCGCGGGGTAAGTACTCGTAACTCACTTAGGGACACCGTAGGACACATGGCTTTTGTTTCTCAAACTGAACCTAAAATCATTTCCGAAGCAATAAACGATGAACATTGGACCTTGGCCATGCAAGAGGAGCTAAACCAATTCAAACGGAATGACGTTTGGGAATTGGTGCCAAGGCCCGATGATCGTACGATTATTGGTACGAAATGGGTGTTCCGTAACAAACTTGATGAAAATGGAATAATCACTAGAAACAAAGCTAGGCTCGTAGCTAAAGGCTACAATCAAGAAGAAGGCATTGAATTCGAAGAAACTTATGCACCCGTAGCACATTTAGAAGCTATTCGTTTACTTCTTGCTTTTTCTTCGTCTATGGATTTTAAACTTTATCAAATGGATGTTAAGAGTGCCTTGCTCAATGGTTTTATTCAAGAGGAAGTGTATGTTGACCAGCCCCCGGGGTTTGAAGACTTTGAGTTTCCGGACCATGTCTTCAAACTCAAGAAAGCGCTCTACGGTCTTAAACAAGAACCCCGTGCTTGGTACGAACGGTTGAGTAAATTTCTTTTGAATAGTGGTTTCCAAAGGGGAGAGGTTGACACTACACTTTTTATCAAGAGTAAAAACAATAACACCCTTTTGGTTCAAGTTTATGTAGACGATATTATATTCGGTGCTACTAACAAGTCCTTGTGCAAGGAATTCTCAACGTTAATGACAAGCGAGTTCGAAATGTCAATGATGGGTGAGCTCACATTCTTTTTGGGACTCCAAGTCAAGCAAATGAAAGATGGAATGTTCATTTGTCAAACTAAATATTGCAAGGAGCTCCTAAAACGGTTTGAAATGGACAATGCCAAAACCATGGCGACCCCAATGAGCACGCCCGATCATCTAGACAAAGACGAGAAAGGTAAGGAAGTAGAAGTCAAAAAGTATCGAGGTATGATCGGATCCCTTCTCCATCTTACCGCTAGTAGGCCGGATATCATGTTTAGCGTATGCCTTTGCGCAAGGTATCAATCATGTCCGAAGGAATCGCACCCAACAGCGGTGAAATGGATGATGAAATACCTTGTTGGCACGGTTAACGTTGGACTGTGGTATCCAAAAGACTCTTCGTGTCATCTCGTTGGTTATTCTGACTCAGACTTCGCCGGTTGCAAATTGGACCGTAAAAGTACGAGTGGGACTTGCCACTTACTTGGTAGCTCTTTAGTTTCATGGTTTAGTAAGAAACAAGTCAGTGTTGCGTTATCCACAACCGAAGCGGAATACGTTGTCGCCGGAAGTTGTTGTGCTCAAATCCTTTGGATGAAGCAACAACTCGTGGATTATGGCCTTAGTATCAGTCACGTTCCACTCCGTTGTGATAATACTAGCGCCATAAGCTTGACGAAGAACCCCGTTCTTCATTCAAGGACGAAATACATTGACATTAGGCACCATTTCATTAGAGATCATGTTCTCAAAGGTGATGTCGAAATTGAGTTTGTTGAAACACGCAACCAATTAGCCGACATTTTCACAAAACCTTTAGAGAAAGAGTCGTTCTCCCGCATTCGTAGTGAACTCGGAATCCTTGACTCCACGATGATCTAATTTGTGTATTTATCATTTTTTTTCTTTGCTTGAACGTTTGCTAACTTGAGCGTCGGAGGGTTTTCTAACTCTTTTTTGCAGGGACAGTCGAAGGTGCAGAATTCTGGAAATTAGGGGGAACCAGCGATGGGTGGGCTATACCATCGCTGGTAGGGAAGTCTTCACTTTTTCCAGAACCCCTCTTCCCATCGATGGGTACCTTCTCCCATCGATGGGTAATTGACTCTTTTTTTAAAATCTTTTAACATTTTTTTCCAGAAACACCTTACCCATCGATGGGTATCTCACCCCATCGCTGGGTGAAGGACTTTTGTCAAAAATAATTTTTTCCAGAACCAGGGATGGGTAGCTACCCTTGGGTGAGGGTAGCGACCCACAAACTGTGATAGAAAAAATATAAAAAATAGCCTAAGGGTTTTAGTTGTTGGGTCGCTACCCTACCATAATTGTAGCGACCCTTCCGAAAGCAGAAAATTGGAAGTGAAAGGTCTTAGGTGGAAGGGTAGCTACCCTCTTAGGTGTGTAGCGACCCTTCCCAGTTCAGTTTTCCCCTTCGCTTTCCAGTGGCGACCTTCCCATCGATGGGAACTTCTACCCATCGCTGGGAAGCCTACTGCGATTCAAAAATTTTTGACCGTTGGGCAACGAGCTTAATGCCCAATAGTCATATTTTTTGAACTCAATATGGTTTCCACCCCTTCCCTATATATACACACCTTGTTTTATCATTCCTAATCACAAATTTACTTCCCAAATTCAATCTCCTAATCAAATTTGATTCTTTCTTCTTCATAAATGCTGATATGGCCGGAGGAAAATCTAAGAGCAAGGCCTCCAAGAAGAAGACCAACATCGAAGCTACGACCTCTGCGCCCCAGCCGTTTCCCTATCTAGACGGCTCATTTCTTAAGTTCGGGTCAGAGGAAGAACTCACACACTTCCTCAATCACTTTGCCAAATGCCTGATTTCTCCGCCCATGGTGCTGCCCGAGCTATACCCTCAACAAAAGGGGTACCACGACCTCGACAATCAGCTTCAAGCGTCGGGTCTGTGGTCGTTCGTCTCCAGGAGCCGTCAGTCCTACAATCCCGCCTTTGTCCGGGCCTTCTACTCCAATCTCCGCCGTGACGGGGACACCATATGCAGCAGCATCAATCTCTACGACATAGAGATTGATTTGCCTACCTTTGCTCGGGTCGCAGGGCTGCCCATCCGCGGTGACGACATCGCGACTTATGGTGGCGACGATTGGATCCTGAACAACGAGGCGGTCGTCATTCGTGAGCTTAGGATCACCAACTTGATTTGCCACAGCGGCGCGCCGACGATTCACTTAGCCCCACCGGACAAGCGCCTCCTCCTCTACATCATCACCCGGATTCTTCGCCCCTGGGATAGCAGCCATACCTCGCTCTTCAACGAGGATTAGAAGGCGATTCATGCAATCATCCACGGCGCCTCCATCAATTGGGCAAAATTTGTCATGATACACATGGCGAATTGCGCCTCACTCGCCACCGAGCGGAGCTTGCCGTACGCCTTCCTCATCATGGACATCATCGTCTCTGCCGATATCCACATCGCCGGGCCAGACACGAAGATGACGAAGCTTTGGATGATCGCCGACAGCACCTTTCGGAAGAAGTCCGGAAACAGAGACGGCGCAGGCCCAAGTCGTGAACCAGCCCCCGCTCTCGCCAAGGCCTCTTTGCAATCCATAGCCGATACTCTGAATCGGCTAACCCTCACAGTGGATGGCATGGGGCACTCAATCGAGCGGATGGACTGGACGTTGCAACGCCAACACCACGACATGATGGCATACTTCCGTGGCGTCAACTACCTTCCGCCACCTTTCGACAGCACCATTCTCGGCCAAAACTTTGAAGGCAAGGATGAGGACGACGACTCCTACGCTCCGTCCTCCTCCCCCGACGAGGCCGACTTTGAAGATGCGGTCGACGGCGATCCCATGGACGTCGAGGACGACGAGGACGCCGAAGCCGACTCCTAGAATCTTCTTTCGTTTAATATGATTGTTTTTTTAATTCTTCCCATTCCGTTGTATTCCGCATTTCCCTTTTAATGAATAAAAATTACTTTTAAATCTTTTTGTTAATGACAAAAGGGGGAAGATATAAAGGTTATGCATTAATTGAAGGGGAATTTTTTTATTAAGGGGGAACATTTTTTTAAATCCTCCTATGCATAACCTCGTCTTGTTTGCCATTATCAAAAAGGGGGAAATTGTTGAAACACGGGTTTGTCATGTTTTTGTACTAAAGCCGTGTTCGTCTTTGTGACAGGTTTTGATAATGCCAAACCTCCGAGAACGAGACAAGTCATTGAATATACAAGGCGAAGAACGAAGATAATAACAAGAGCTAAAAGAAGACCAAGAATGAAGACCGTAGTCTTAGTGTTGTTGAGTCGGTCACAATTGTGATCAAGACCGACCCAAACCTCACGCCTTGGCTCTTTAGGCTAAAATCTATTTTTGCATTTATAATATCATAAAAATGTTTTTAAAACTTGTTCAAGACATTAAAAACACTTGGTATTCGCCTAAACCAAAAACCAAGCCATCCGGCGTTCGGCTTTCAAAAACCGGCGTTCGGCATTCGGTTTTCAGTGTTGGTTTTTGGTGTCCGAACCAACCAACTGGTTTTCAACATTTTATGACTGTTTTTTACTTTTTGGAATTTTTAAACAATTCTCCAACAAAAACATCTTAAAAAACACCTTTCGGTTTTGGTCGTGTGGCAAAAGCCACGTAAAACGGCATAAACTTGGCTAGCCATGGTTTTTACCCAAATGACGTGGCTTTTAAAATGTCTCACTTGATTTCTTAGCCAAATACATCAAATGTAACGCCCCAAAACACACCCTAATATTTATTGAATTAAATATTCAATTAAATAAATTTGTTTTGATTAAAAATAAATTGTTGTTGGGCCTTGGGCCAAAATAAAATATGTTTTGATATGCAATATCATAATCCGGATAAATCTCATAGAGATAAATCCAATATGTTGACTTACTGTGTGACCTTGATTGAGAACCTGAGTATAGACCCAAATGAAGAATAAATGAAGAATTTGTTTGTGATGTAAACTTTGAAATGATTTATTGAAATAAATAATGAGAATAAATAATATGAATGAAATGTAAAAACCTTTCTGAATAAAGGTCAACAAAATCAATTTTGACTCTGTCAAAGTCAACCACCTAAAAATATGATGTCGGAAAAAGTATTACAAATAAATATGAAAATTATATCGTTTGATAGAGTTTAATTATACGATCGCAACGGTGCAAACGGATTTGAATTCGGAGAAAGTTGGACCAAAAA